CCATAAACTTTATGCCTAAGTCTATTTTTAACTCTTTGAACATTGAGACTTTGAAGGAAACGGGGATAATAATTCACCTAGCCGATAGAGCTAACGCTTACCCTGAAGGGGTAGTTGATGATGTTCTTGTACAAGTGAATGAGTTAATATTCTCTGTTGATTTCTATGCTTTGGATATGCACGATGAAAATTCACCTAGTCCTTCACCTATTCTACTTGGGCGTCCTTTTATGTGTATTGCATACACAAAAATTTATGTTAGAACATGGACACTTACCATGGAATTTGAAGGTGTAAAATTTCATTTCAACATTTTTTATAAATCGAATGATCCCGTGGAACCTCATGTTTTGTATTGTGTAGATGTCCTTGATCAAAATGTGTAGAAAGTATTAAAGTTGGAGAAATGAGGAAATTGCAGTTGCAAGAATTGAAGGAGATTCAGAGCAAAGCTTTCGAGAATGCTATGCTTTACAAAGAAAATAGTAAAAAATTTTATGATCCAAATATTTTGAGGAAATATTTTAAGGTTGGCCAAAAGGTTTTACTTCATCATTCTCATCTTAAGATTTTTCCGGGTAAGTTTCGTTCTCGTTGGATAGGTCCATTTGTAGTTTCTAATGTGTTTTCGTATGATGCAGTTGAGATACAAAGTCTAAGCACTGATAAACGGTTTGTTATAAATAGACACTGTCTTAAGCCTTTATATTAGGGATATCAGAGCAAGGAAGTGGAGTGCGTAGCTCTTTTTGAGCCGCGTAAATAGCTTAAAAACCATTATTTTCGAGCCAAAGACAATAAAAAAGGCATTTCTTGGGAGGCAACCCAAGTTTATTAATTTATTTTGTGTGCTTTGAGTTTTTGTTGTGTTTATGAGTCAGTTTCATGGCTTGTTTCTGGTGTTTGGTTGTAGGTATAGTGTTCATTGTTGGATGGGGAAGAATAGACACGGTTCATAGGTATGGTCACGCATGCAGTGTGTTGTGATTGATGAGAAAAAGAAAATTTTTAAAGAAATCATAACGTAAAACTTTCTTAGGCGTAATGAAGCCTTATATTATGAAAAGTTGCACAAAAGATGATTTATTTTGGGAAATTATTAAATTTATTATTATTATTATTATTATTATTATTATTATTATTATTATTATTATTATTATTATTACTACACCAATTAAACCCTAATCCCTATTTTCTCCCCCTCTCTCACAGAGCGCCACCCTAGCCAGTTTGCCAGATCTAGCCACCGCTCCAGGCCGGTTCGAACCTTCCTTCACCACAACAACTGCCATTCGCCAATTCGGTTCGACCCGCCTCGCTGGTTCACCCTGATCGCCGGTCCGACTGCAGTCATCACCTCTACCCCGCTCCACCGATTCGCATAACCGCCAGCCGCGCACCCAGCAGTCCGACCGCGGCTCCACTCCGCCTCCGTGCAGCCACCATTTCAGAGCCGCCAATAGACGCCGGTTCGCGCGTCCGTTCTACCCCAACCGGTTTGCTCCAGCTGGTTCACTCCGCCGGTTCCACCACCCTCTTCACCACCAAGCCGATTCCAATACGCCCCAGTCGTCGCCTCTCTGCACCACTCGATTCTCATCGCCTTCAACCGCTCTCGAGCGAACTGCCGCTGCTATGATTCTTTGGGGAAGTTCTCACCCCTAATATGTATTGCATTCTTTTAATTACTCCTATCGATTATTGCCTAAATAATTTATAAGATTAGTTGATGGTGAATATTTGAACTTGGGCAATTATCTTGGAGTCTATTTTCCGAAAATTGCCAAATGGATGCATATAGATGATTGTGAGAGATATTTTGGATGATTGTGATTGTCGATTGCAATTTGAATGCTTGTTTTTAGAATGTTATTGGCACTGGGGCATAATTGCTAATGCAAATGTCTTTTGGAGTTCATTGAGGAATTGTAATTTGCTTGTTGAATTCATTTTCGTATAGGCACCATGGGCAAAGTGCAGGTGTCGGATCCGGTCCCCTCCAAGATTCCCATTGCTCTTCAAGATTCCTATCGAGAAATTACTGAGCATGTATTCGTCGGCACTAAACGGGCCGATCGTCCCCACCTATTCCAAGGAAGTTTCTTTTCTCCATCTTTTTTGTTTAATCTTTATTGTTGCAATAGGGACGTTGCATCAATTAGGTGTGAGGGAAGATTAGAACTTTTGATGCGATATAACACTTTATTTTGATGCACTTCCGTGCATGTCCTCTTGATTATACAAGCCGAGGTTATTTTGCTTTACTTAGTTCATTAGGATCTTTCCGTGTTTCTTGATGAAGTTATATGATGAGTCTGCTTAGCCTTTTGACAAATAACCCTTAAGTGAGTTGTTTTGAGCCTTATTTAAGCAAATTCATTACATATATTTCATATATGCTCAATTTTTCTTAGATTGTGTGAACATATGTTGTATTTGACTACCTAGAAGTTGTTTGCTTATGCTTATGCAAATTCATTACATATATATCATATATGCTCAAAATGATAAGGCACTAGAATTACCCATGTTGGCCTTAAACCCTAAACCCTGCATTATCTACTAGTGAACCAAGTTTGAGCTTAATATTATTATGCTATTTTTCTTGGTTTATATTTAACCCCAAGATGATAAGTCTTTTTATTGAATTAAGCCGAATGCTTACTTGAACCTATGAGAATTTGAGGGATTTTTCTTTGATTCATTACATTAGATTATTTGGAGTTGCATTTATTTCATTACATGGTATTATTCCAGAGTTGTAGTTGAAAGTATTCATATTGTGGCAAAGTTATAAATTCATATTCACATTTTTGCCAAAAGTATCTCATTATCTAGCCCCTTTAAAAAATATAAAAATAAAATAAAAAGGGGCTGAAAAAAGAAGAAGAAAGTATTCCGAGTCCTAAAAAAAAGGACTCGTGAAAAAGAAAGAAAGTATGTTTTTGTCATGCATTGATAATCGTTTGTGCATATTGCTTGATTCTTGTTTATTCGTGTGTGCAACTAGTGTTGATTTTGTTGTGATAAATTGATAGATAAATTAATTGGTCCTATTAGCTGTTGATATCCTCTTTCCTACCCAACCACGGCCCCATTACAACCTCTAATTAAGACTTTTGATTATGAATGTTAATTTCTTGATGAATTGTGGAGTTGATTTGATTTGCTTACAAGCCTATGGGATTTGTCGTTTACTTCATGTGCATTGAGTGAACATAGATTAAACATCAAAGGGTGAGAGCTTTATGTTGTATACATTCCGCATTTGGTAAGGTTAGTTGGTTCTTGCATGCTTTGAATCTGACGTAGTTGATGATACGGCTAAGTGACTTTTGCGCTAGTGAGTATCTCAATTCTTCGTTTGGATATATGCTTGAGGACAAACATGGAATAAGTGTTGGGGAGTTGATATTTGCATATATTAGATAAATATTTAGGGCGATTTTTAGATATGAATTTCGTATATATGCTCATAATGGTCTATTTTTTTATTGTTCACTAGGCATTGTGGAGTTAGAAAATTTTGAGCATATTTGAGAGAAAAAATAGAACGCACGAAGGCGTTGAGTGTGATCACGCAGTACAATGTGGAAAATGTGGAAATTTACAAAAAGGCTCTCCGGGGTAAATTGAAAATATAAAGATTATTTGGTATTTAATTGCAAATGGGATCTTGACTTGAGAAATTAAGAAGAGAGTGGTGGGAAATTGAGAGAGAGAGAGAGAAACGCACAACCATGTAAGAAACCCCCAACACCAATTTTGAAATGAGCAGAAGAAAACACAAAGGAAGAAGAAGGCAAAGATTTCAGAAGAGATAGACATAACTTCCAGGTATTTCTTTCTTCATTTTTAGAATTGGTTTGTTGTCGATTCTTAAAATTGAAGGCATGATGAATTCCTTGAATTGTTTTATGTTTTCAATTTCCATGGATTGCGAGTAACTTCATTTCTAGCGTAGGTATGGATTGATATTTGGGATTGAATTTATGATATTTGGTTTTGGTTCAATTTGGTGTTCAACGATGTTGGGTATTTTTAATTCTTCTGATTTTAAATTTTAGAAATCTTAAATTGATTATTGCGCACATATTGATTTGAGATTTTACATTTATATTGGAGATTGGCACCCGTAATTGTGTAATGTTCCAATTGGTGTATCAACCTAGAGGAATAATACTCTAGGAAAGAATTAAAATCAATTTCAAATAGATCCGCATAGGAATTTGGTTAAATTGAGTTGGGTCTTTCTAATCCTTAATATTGTCGAGTCAGTAAAACAACAGTCGTACCTAGTATTCTCACTCGATTAGGGAAATAACTAACGGTCGTACCTAGGATTTTCACTCGATTAGGGACATAGCTAATGGTCGTACCTTAGCTATCGAAAAAGTAAGGGAAGGTTGGTTGTGAATTCGTATAGATCAACTATAACCAATTTATCCAACTAGTCTATGAACTTGGCTTTTAGTCGATGAACAAATTTTATATCCCGAACGAAAAATTCATGCCTATGCTAGAATTTAATCATCTTTGATAAATCGTCTTGTATTTTAGTTTATTTTATTTAATTGAGCGAATTTATTTTTCTCAAATTTAGTGTGATAAATCAAACCCCTTTCCCATTATATATATATTATAAATAACCGGATAGTCAATATTGTTACTGTTCCGTGCAGAGATGACCCTACTCACCAAAATTACTGCATTTTGCATATTTCTTTGACGTAGAAACTAACATTTATTTTGCAGCTGTGTAACACGCTTGGAGTAAGCTATTCAAGAAAATTAGTATTAATTATCTATCAAAGACAGTGGATGAAACATGTTCTGCATTTAATTGTTTAGTGTAACGCATGCCTGTAGCTATGCATGTGATGCGACTAAGGGTATGTAGGTAGATGTTTAATGGTTATAAACCTTTTGTATAAAAAACTAGAAGAAGCATTAATTATTGAACATTAGAACAAAGATATGAAAGAAAACAATTAACACACCTTTCACCTTGTTAACTAACCACTTGGTTCCTCCTTCAATGCTTGTTGATAATGACTAAGTATTAAAAAAAAAAAAAAATTAATGATAGACATTATTAGCATTGGTACATAAAAAACCAAACTGTAGATACAAAATGTTAGAAAAATAATAACAACATAAAATTACTCTTCTTAGAAAACAACAAAATTTGAGTTGAAGTATACTTTTGCTCACAAGAGAAAATAAATTTGATAAAGCGTTCAATGTTGATATTTTGTTGCCAAAAGTAAAGCGATTTACATCTTTAGACATACAAAATGATTTTAAAAGAAGAGAAAAGCTTCTCACTTTGATGTATTGTAAATGAGGGGGATGATTATAACATTATGGTCAACCTTTTTTTATTTTTTTTCACACACGCATACACTCACGCACCCTATATTATTGGTGTGTTTAAAAGCCCCATGATCCTCGAGCGCGTGCACGAGTACGTGTCTTGTCAGGTCTGGGTAGGTAGACGGTGCACGTGTGGCTCATCGGCACTCTCATCCCGTGGCCATACTTCTTGCCACTTTTATTACAATATGTATATTATTAAAGATGCAATTAGACAATGTGGGACAATTTTCGACTTTCATTAGTTAATTATTTAATGAAATTATCCAAAATCCATAATAACTTTTGCCCAAGACTTTAACTAATGGTCGGGGCACGAGAGTGCCGGTGAGCTATACGTGTGCATGCTGCCCGCCAACCCAGACCCGACCGAAAACGACATGACACGTACATGTGCACAGGCTCAAAGGTCGTGGATCATAGGCCGTGGGGCTTGGTGTTTGGTATATGCTCAGCTTGGCGAGGCCAAGTTTTGCACCGTAGGTGGTCTCATAAAAGGAGGAATCCTCTCATTCTTTCAAACACACCAATAATATACTCTCATCTCCTCTAGCTTTTCAACAACATCTTCAACTCAGTTTCTCCGTCGTTTTTACTCTCCAAATGTGTCACTCCCATTGGAGATGGAAATTGTTTCATCTTTGGATAAGAATGTCGGCCACCGGAAGCACTACCGAAACATATTTAATTTTCAAAAAGAAGATTCATCTTTGACTCGGTTTTACAGTACTTTTTATTCTCGCAATATTCCTTTAAACTAACATATGCAGCTTTACATGACAAATATGTTGAATCCTCTATACAAGTCGAGTGGTTTATAAATACATCCAAACTTTGATGTATTATCAACGTTGAACACTTCTCATACATTGTTAATTAGTTTTATCAAATGTTAGTTAAAAATAAAGTCCAATTTATTAGCCCAAATCCCTTGTTTAATCAACCTATTAGTTAATCTTATCAATTACTTGTTTTTCTTATCCCATTATATTTTTCACTCTCCAATTAATCTACTTTGAGAAAAAAAAAATCTAAACAATTAATTAAATTAATAAGCGATCAACAACACAAAAATAATTAGTCTTGCAATACAACATGAGGATATCTAAGTATAGTGCTGGTTTTCAGTGGTAGTTTTTCAAAAATACCCCTTCTCCAAAATTGAATTTTTGGATAAAATTTCATATATTTTGTGAAAAATTGGAAAGGAGAAAATGTGAGATTTTTTAGATGGAGAAGTCAAATAAGTTATTTTATGGCAGACACCTAGGGTAGTGAAAAGGCATTATACCTATAGTCTGACATGGCATGTTGTAACAGAACAATCTAGAAGTCATTGATTGTGTGTTCAACGTAATTTTTAGTGGTTATAAAGATATGTTAGTGGGTTTATATCCCCATATTAATACACCCCATACATTCTCTCCCTACAATTCGTTTTTTCAATAACGAGAATAAGAAATGTTAAAATGTTGCAGAGAAGGGATAGACCGAGGCTCTCAGATACGAACTGTTGCAGTTGAGAAGGAGTCTACACCTCTAGTTGTTAAATTCCTCCAATTTCCGAAATAGAAATTGAAGGAATAGTGGATGTGTTTGCTCTTCAAACTGATGAAAGAAATGTTGCATCACTAGAAAAAACCACCGGTGAACCGTCTAAGCAACACGTCGCTCAAATTGTTAGTATTGAAAAAAACTGTTGAAGTTGCTAAAATTGCAAAAGGGAGTGCAGCTAGTGCAATAAGCCCCGACATAAACAAGGCTACAAAATATATAGAACAATTTACGAACATGTCATAGATGATAAAAAATCCGAAGTTGAAAGCCAAAACCGAAATGATGAGGAGGTTACCAAAAAAAAGAGAAAACTCCACTAAATGTGGAAATGACAAGTGAACATCTAGGACTCGAAGTTGAAGATATTCCAATCTTCTGGAAATAAAAAATGGTGAGAACAGAACAAAGATTTACTTATGGATCATGTAGGAATATCGACCACCCCTGATGAACAACAAACTACTATTAAGGAAGGTACCGGTTATGAACTTTCACTATCTTCAGTTATTCTTCTAAAAAAACAGGGAAGAAGGGCGTTAAAGCTGGTCAATCTCAGAAGAAGAAGAAAGGTAAAGAAATAACTGGAACTTCTACACTGAATATAGACCAAGCACTGGACCAAATTCATTTTTCAAGGAAGAACCGAAATTATGAACATGAAGTGCTAACAAACAAAAATTTTATTCAGGTGGTAAGGTTCGATCACTTTACCTATAATGAGATTGGTTTAATTGGCTATCCCAAAAAAAAAACAAACATTTACTATTTTGGGTGATACGTTTACAATGTTTCTGTCCAAAACTTTTGAGGGAGTTTTACGCAAGTCTAAGTGGTAAAGTATTAGATCATACCTCCCATTAGTACCAAAAGATGTATGTTCGAGGAAAATTTCTAGGACTAAGCCCTGCCGTTATCAATTGGATGTTACAATTCCTGCTTAACGATAAGGAGTTCATGTCATCCCAATACCTTCAAGAGCATTCTTTTGAGATTTCTTGGTATCTTACTGTCGATGAAGCTATTGCTTTTGAAAGGATTTTCATGAAAATGTATGCCATGTCGATGAAGTTTTAGGATTTGCACCATATATGTGGTCTGAATGTTCCCAACAACTAATGCATCTTCGGTGAGCATCAAATTTGGTAAGATGATTTTTTTATTAATAAGCATTTGGATTTTTTGAATTTTGGCTATGTTTTATTATCAAGAGAATGCTTGATTTTTTTATCATATTTAAGACTGATGCTACAAGGCTTGCTTACCCTGCCTTGAAAACCATGTGTATGAACTCGAATGGTGTTGTGTTTGAAGCCAATAAAAACGTTGCTAACATCGATTCTACTTGGCTCAATCTAACCTGCAGAGACTATCTAACGATTTTCATGATGAGGCGCTTCGTGACCCTACTAAGCAATTTTGTATATGCCAAGAAATGTTGTATACAGTTATGCTAGAGTAAACCATTATACCTCTCCAACTACTTGCACATAAAAGGAAGATTGGCCGCATATTAAGCTTGCTGCCTCATGCCCCACCAATGAAAATTGTTGAGGATAATGATGAAGCCACCCTTTAAAACTGTCTTCTTAGCCTACGATGCAATTTAGGATGAGAAACAAGCAACAACTAGGAAGAGAGAATTGAACAAAGAAAAAGAAAAAGGAAAAAAAGAATTATTATTGAAAGTACTATTGGAATTAATTTTTGTTATGTCTGCTCTGATCTATGTTACTTTGTTCTACCAAGTATTTCATATTTTGGCGGATTCTTGTGCGGTTTTAACCGTTGTTTGATTTCACTATTAAGTTTATTTGTAGGCTTCTTAGTATTTGACATGTAATAACCGGATTGATGGAGTGTTGGACTCACTACTTGAAGTGTGTGTGAGTATGAATGTTTGTCCGCTTGTGTAGACTTGTACCATGTCAAACAAAAGGGAGAATGTTACAATGTTATTTTTTTCTCATTTTGGCATATGTTACATCAATTGTGTAGTGTATTGAGACTCGAAGTCGGCACAAAAAGGGAAAATTAACAGACTAATATTGAACCTATTTTGTAGAGCCTTTTTGTGTTTTTTTTGATAGGTTTGTTTGGTCATGGTAAGTCATACCTTGAAGAACATTCTGAAGAAGATCAAACGAGGTTGCAAGTTTGTGGTAATTCAATTAATTTTTCAAGGATGGACAATCAAATAAGGCACAAAGCCAATTGATTATATTTTTGTATGTGGAATGTGTGAGACAATCTATATAGTGGAAAATTAGTTTGTTTATAGTGTAAAAAGTAGTTTTTTTTTTTTTCTTTATCTTTTGATTTTCACACTCCTTGTGTTCAAGAAGATAGTGAATGTTCATGATGACTTAAAGCTAATATGAATAAGAAAGATATGGGTTTTCCAACCAAAAAGGAAGGTCAACACATGAATACATTTACTCTCAGTTGGATTGATAGTCCATTAGTGTTTTAGCTGCGATTTGATTGCTAGTTCCTTATGGATAAATATTGAAAGAGTATTGTTGAAAACCATAATTGGTGGTTGATGTTTATTGAGTCGTAAAGTTCATTGTACACCTGGCGATATATTTATTAGATGTCTCTTAGATTGGAATTTATGTAAGTTGTTATACCGAACAGGATAATAAAATCATGTGTGTTATTTGTTATTTATATTCTATTTCTGATTAACTAGATATAAACAAGTATCATTTGCACACACATAGGCGTTATAACCACAGGACAATTTTATTTATTTTTTTTTTTTTAGAAGTGCAAACTCCTTATGGTTTCCTAAGTCTACTAGTAGACTTAGAAGAGTTGGCCTCTCAGATGATTTTGTAATTTTTTTAATCCAATATTCTTATTTTTCTTCAACATTTGACAAATTCAACCTGCTCGAACCTTCTTTGTGAAGATGTAAAGTGTGTGAATATGATCGATTTAATTAGTTAAATATAGAGTTGATATTAGCTTTTTTTTTTTGTTCCTTTTCTATGGCATGTGTACGTTTTCTTTGATATTGTATCTATACTCTTAATATTAATTATTCTTCTCAAGTGAATATATCAAATCCATTTCAGCGGTGGTTTTTTGCATCTTTTCTTTGTCCTTTGTTTGTTCTATTACAAAAATACAAATTAGACTAAAAATAAAAAATAAATAAAGCATATCACAAGCTAAATACTGAAATGTTCTCTTTTATTTTTTCGGACATAGTTAAAACACTAACTAAGACTGGGTTTCTTTGTTTACTATTTTAGTTTAAAGTATTTATTTTTACGTGAAGTATAAAAATTGTATAAAATATATTGATTTTTTATGAAAAAAATAAAATATATATTCAAAAATCGTCTTGATAAGAAAGCTATTATGTGAACAAACCCCACACAATCCAACACTAATTAATAAATAAATAATAACAATAAAAAGAGCAATGATCTCTTTGTTTGTTTGGTTTTTTTTTTTTTTTTCTTTTAATTATTATTATTATAAACTCTTAGCATAGTTATTTTTTCTTACTAAATATTACATTCAACTACTGTTTAAAAGGTACCCTCATATTAAGTTATCCTACTTCCACTCTATGATTTTTGTTTGTCTTGGCTATTTGTGGTTTTTATAGATAATAAATTTTGATCTATTTTTTCTTTTACATATAATTTATTAAAAGTATTAAAAATTATTAAAGTGGAGATGACGATCCCACATCCTGAAAATTAATGCTCATAAGAATGATTATATTTAGGAAAATATGTAAAACGGTATCTAATCCGACCTGTCGAAAAGGATTAATGCAAGAGCATGCAAGCTTTAATGATCGATGTCATGTTAATATAATACACACATTTAACATATGAAGAGGAAAAACCAATGAAAGGCAAATTCAATCTGCGACAACAATACAATAATAATATATGAAAATAACGAAAAATTGAAGCAAGCAAGCAAGCAAAATAAGCATTAATTATAAGAAAGAATACATACGTTGATATCATTGCTGACGGAGCTGAGCTGGCTGTTGGCTTGTTGACCCAACCAATAAGACCCCATCTTGCCCGCCACAAGATCCATAGTTAATTCGATTTGATTGAACTTAATTTAATTTAATTTAATTTGATTGATGATCCAATCCTCTTATCCTCCTAATCATCAAAGCAATGAATACAACAAACATATATGCATATTTGTTGTCTGTCGAATGACAACACAACTTATTATTTTAGAGGGAAAGAAACAAAGAAAGAAAGAAAGGAAGAAAGTGGAATGGGAAGTTGCTTTTCGGTTAGTTGCAATTAGTTTTTTTTTTTATTCTTTATTTCCTATTATTGCATTACCAAATTTTAGTTGGGTTTCGATTTGATGCCACATGTCATCCGCTGGCTGAGATGAAACCACGGCCTCTACCCTATTACTAATTTCTCGCCCTTTCTATTCCATTTCTAATACAAACCAACCTAATATAAAATTATTTTAAAAGAGTAAGTATTAGTATCAATTTAACCATTTATGTTTTACCAACGGTGTGTTTCTTTTTTGAGTGAGTTTAATTTGGGAATATTGATTTATGTTTGAATTAGATTTCAATTTTGTAAAATAAGTTTGAATTTTCATGTTCTTTTAAGTTTGTAACTTTGATTTAGATTTGGAAGATTTTGATGTGAATTGATTTAATATATAATAATTGTAATTTTCTATAATTATAATATAGTAATTTAATTTTTTTGGGTAGTACTTTCTTTTTTTTTTTTTTTCGAAAATAAACAACATAATGGAACTATTGAAAAGCTGTTGGAAATGGGTAGATGGACAGCTCCGGAAAAGAAGATGAGCGGCGGACATCAGTGCATGCGCTGCCCGCATCCAATGTGTAGTCTCTTCTCTTGTCGTCTCATCTCATCGTACAGTTCGTCTCGTGGGAATGGAGTTGAGGGTGTGTTTATTAGGAGGATTGAATTTTAAATATACTACTCATTTTATTTTTTTTTTAAAAAAAATATTAAATCAAAAATTTATTTTTCATTTTTTATATTATATTGAAAATTGATTTTACATTCAAAATATTAGATCAACACCTATTTATATCATATCATACAATTATTCAATTACAAAATTTTTACTATTCAAATCCCAACTCAAAGTATGATAAGACACTAATACAATTATTTTTGCCTTTTTTTTCCATGATTTATACTATATTTTCATATAATAATTAATATTTAAAAATCAACACGCAAAAAATAAATAATACCCTAGAGTCGGACGGTTGTAGTATAAAATTGTAAAATTATAGAAATTAGAATCAATAAATTATTATTATATATTTTATCTAAAATAATTTATACTGAAATTAAGGATGTTCATATATTCTCTTAGAATGATTAATGCGATGTAGCAAAATAATAGTATTATATATATATTTTTTCAAATATATTTGTTTAGATTATGCTCTCACATGTGTATTATTATGAAATTATTTGGAACATATACATTATCAATACGTTTACTTTTTTGAACGATTATATTATTTTAATAAATTATATAATCATGAAAGTATTTAATATGATATTTATTTTATTTAATTAAATATGAATAAAAAATAAATTTTAGTATAAATATTATTTAGATAAATTAATTATATTTATATATCCGTATGGTTTTATATATGTATGCATTAATCAATATTCTCTTTGGCTCACTTATCTTGTTTCTGTCCGTACTATATTTCATATCATTTTCTTTTTTTAAAAAATGATTACCCATTTTAATTTTAATTTGAATTTTTTTAATTTTAATTAAACTAATTAATTATTTTAATTTTAATCTATAATAATTTATATTATAACTTAATTATTTTCACTAATATATTCTTAATTATCTACTAATTATATTTATTCTAAATTCTCATTTCTTCAGTGATCAAGACACCGAATGTGGGACGAAGATAATATATAATACTGTGGAATAGGTAATAAATGTGCAATTATCTACATATAAGATATTACCGTCAAATTCATCCTGAAATTTTGGATTTGAGTTGATTTGGGGATATCCAAATATTTGAATATTATATATCTACTATCTACTATATATACATATTTACCCTAGATTTCGTTTAGTCACGTCGATGTTTTATTTTTTATTTTTTTATTATTATTTTATGTGGGTTTCACTTTCAAAATATTACTTCCTCAATCCCACGTTGCATGTCTTGGTTACCGTAAACACGACATTTAGAATAAGTATGAATAAGTATAATTAATAGATAATTAAGAATATATTAGTAAAAATAATTATTCTATAATATAAATAATTATAAATTAAAATTAAGATAATTAATTAGTTTAATTAAAATTAAAATAATAAATTAAAAAATTTAAAATGAGATTAAGGTATATAATCATCTTTCAAAAAAGTAAAGTGACATGGAATGTGGGAAGGACATAAAAAATAATATGAACATGATATGTAGAACAGATGGAGTAATAAAAACGAAGTGGGGAAAAGGTTTTTCTTAAAATTTGTTTACTGTGGGATAATAATATACATACGTAATTATTAAAAATGTAGTTGCAATTCACTCTCCAATGTAAATCAATTGGACTGAAGTCTCTACTTTAGTGATTAGGTATGTTATAGCTCCATTTTTGTATTTTCTACTCAATCGCCATTGTATATGCAACGTGTACTTATGATTATTTAATAAATACTTCCAATTTTATAATATATACGTATATTACCTTCCGCTCTACCCCAATTATAAGCTTAGACACTTCCATTTAAATACCGTAACTTCTTTTGTAATTTTTTTTTTTAAAAAAAAGGAAGAAAACTACCCACGGTTTAAGAGTTGAAGCAGGAAACCTCTCATAACTCCACTCAGTCCCCTTTTAAACCCTAGTTCTTCTATATTCAGGCAAATCGACGCTCATGAACCTCCCGATGATCAAGCAGTAACGGATCCGTCCATCAAAATGGTGAGGAGAATAGCCAACCCTCTGCGATCCCTTTACACGAGTTCAAAGTAGTAAGTGTCTGGTTGAAGCTTTTACGATTTTTGATTTTTTTGACCTTAGAATCTTATAGCGTAGTTTATTCGATTGCTTGGAGTGAAAGCTTTGGTCCCGTGTTTGTATGCGTTGGTTCGGTGATGAGGAGTTCTAGGTGGTCGGTGTTGTGTTTGTTCACCGGGTTTGAAATTGTTCGAATTTTTTGCCAGGAAAGCCGGTTCAGTGTTTTATTTTGGCACCAATTTTGGGTGATTTTATTGTTTTATCTTTGATTTTTGTTAAATTTGGAGATGTATAGTTTTGTTAGTTACACGGAGTTGCATATTTAGTTTTTTTGTTTCATTATTCGGTAATTAGTCATATCTGTGGGTTGGAAAATGCGGTTATTAGAAACCACGAGTTTCATTCGTTTGTTCTAATTTGCTAAGGAATATACCTGTAGGGGACTATTGTATACTCGGAATTATTGTTACGTACTCCTGATAAATTGTGATATACTTTTAACTAAATTGGAGATTTGGATAATGTGAAGTGATGGTACTTATTTACAGACCGGGGAAGGAATGCAAATTGGTAATCAGCTGCTTTGTATTACCGTTTTTCCACAACGAGGTGCAAAAACTCAAGCAATAGATGTTGGACGAACACATCAAAGCCATTAAAATGACTCCGTTCGGACATTTTTTGGATTGCCCGAAGATGAAGTTTTGTGGCACAGCTTTCTTGCCCTCATTAATAACTTAAGTTCGGATTCTATGTCGTTCAAGATTGGAGCTGACATTGAGCTACCATTTGAAGTTGAGGAATATTTTGTAGTGTTGGAACTACATGCGAAGGGAGTCTACGTAATTGACAACACATTAGTTGGAAATGAATGCTTTGTTCGGATATTTGGGGGCAAGCCACGTTCTGTAACCCATGTTGAGGTGTTGCAGAAGCTGCGTGGTGCTCTATTGAAGAGGTTGGAGCCTTTATCTGTTGTTGATGTTGCCCGTCCTTTTATTTTGCTTGTTTTGCAAATATTTTATTTTGTTCTGCGAATTATTCCGTACCTTTTTTTTGTTACCGTATATGGATGACTTGACTGCGATTGATGACTATGCATGGGGACCTACAAGTCACCAATATCTCTTGAAGTCTATAAGCGATTTTAAGTCTGCAAAGAAATATTTGACAGGCTGCACAGTCGGTTTGTTGTTAAGCAATGTAATATCGGATTTGTTAATTTTTTCTACTTATTTTTGTATATTGCATAATATGTCTGTTGCTATTATTGTTGGAGGTAATGGGATTATTATTATTTGCAGGCTTGGTTTAACGAACGAGTCCTAACCCTGGACAAGGCAATGTGCCTACCGAAGGTACCCCGGCTCTTTCGGTGGCTGAACAGCCTAAGTCTGATCTTCAGGGTTTTGTAGTGACTGAGTTATCATCCTTGAAGGGGAAAAATATTCAGAACTTTTATCGAATTGGCACTAATAATGACGCAGCCCAAGTAACTAAACTATATTAATCGAAACTTAAAACTAGATTAAAAATAAACTAAGTAAGAAAGAAGAAGATATTACCGGTGTCCGATTTGTCAATCGATCGGATGTGAACCCAAGCGTTGCCTAGACCCAACACCTCTAAACCAATGGAGACTCGAACAATTTGGCTAGAAACTCCGGTCGGTTTCGGAAGCCACGAACCCAAGGAATCAACCCAAGCACCTGATTTGAGAATGATACGCGTATGCAAGGGTAACCCTCGCTCACACACTAATTCCAGTATAATGGAATAAAGAGAAACTTTAATTGATATAATTTTCAAAGTGTCTAACAAGTGAACCCAAGTGCCTTATTTATAGGGGAGGCTAGCTTGGAAAAAGACTCTACAACCAATGTGGGACAGAAATATATATTATTTATATCCCACTAATTAAGTAAATAAGAGATGTCCAATTAATTAGATTGAAGGGACCCACTTTATTAAATAAAATAAAACACCTCTTATCCGATATGGGTAATGATGTGAATAGAAACTCCCATGGGTGTTATAAATTATGGTCTTCAAGGGTGGATG